TTTTTTTTTTTAATAAAACTATATATATATTTGTCAGTATTACATATAAAAAAAAATGCAAAAGTACATTTTTAAATTGATTTTAAAAAAGTAACGGAAAAGTAACGAAAAGTTATTTTTCAAGTAACGGTAACTGTAACGAGTTACTTTTAAAAAGCGATAACTGTAACTGTAACTAGTTACATTTTTTACTCGGTAACGAGTAACTGTAACTAGTTACTTTTAAAAAGTAACTTCCCATTCCCTGGATATCAACATGTCTTATGTCTTATCGTTAAGTAACTCGTATGCATAAAGAATTATTCAATCACATTTTACGTGCATTTCTATAAAGAAAATGCGATTGGATAATTTTCTTTATGCATATATGTTTATGCAGCTATGCAAGTTCTGTGGATATAGCTTTAAAGCTATATCCACACGCATAGCCGCATAAACGAATGTATAAGGAAATTGATTGGTTCATTTTCTTATGTATTTGCTTATGGACCAATCAATTTCTTTATGCATACGTTTATGCGGCTATACAAGTTTGTGTGGATATATAGCTTAAGCGGAGAGCACACTTTACATAGTGCATAGGAGAATCAACCAATCTGAATCCCTCCTTTTCTTCCACTTCACGGAAAATAAGAACTTTGATTGGCTGATTCTTTTATGTACTATGCATTATGCATTATGCAAAAACTTGTGTCTGGGCTCTTACCATTATCTCACTTCAAAAGTAAGGCATAACCTTTGACATAATCCATTTTGAATAATAAAGACGGAAGCACAGCTCTTGCATAACGCATAATACATAATGCATAAGAAAATGTACCAATCAAAGTTCTTCGTTTTCTTCCTTGCTATAAAATAATATACTTATTACATACCACCTATTATATTAGAAACCTCTGCCCATAAGGCATCGGTTTTCAGCTTTGATCGGTTTTTGCACCCTTGCGAATGGTCCCACAAGGCCTTTTTCTGCTCAACAGTCTCGATTAGCAATTCGTCAATTGCATCTGCTGATAAGGCTGTTAAGCTATTCTTTGTAGTATCGTCGATTTTTGAAACACTCCTGTTACTGTTCCGCTGCTGTTGTTGCTTCTCCATTGTCTCTAGAGTATTTGTAAAATAATCATATTTCAGTAATTATAATAACGCCGAGACACTACCGTATCTCCAGATAGTATTTTTGATGTATACAATTTCTTTCAATCATATCTTGTAAAAATACATACCATAACAAATATGATATTACAAAGTGTGATATTTTGGAAATGTTGCTGAAAGGCTAAATGACTATATATCGAACTACGTTCAAATATACATTTTGAAAACATTGTATACATACTCATTGTGACAACTTTGTTCTCGTCGACAGCTATCACATCCACTTTGTCATCGTATGTTACAAAACATTTATGTTTCATCAATTCATTCATATCATCCGGCATTATCCACCCGCAATAGCCACATTTCATTTTCTGTAAAAAGAGACACATTTATTAATAATTTTTATCTATATTAGTGTGCATATATCTAATAGCATTTAATAAAATAACATATTAACTGTATGATACGTGGAAATCATCGTATAATAATGACAACAAAAAAGTTCTTCTTCTTCAACAAAAAAGTTGAAACGTTAAATTTACGCCATAAACGCCGCAAATAAATAAGGGTATGTACATTCATGCTTATTTTCACGTAAGTTGCGGATTACGGATTGCGGGCTGTATGTGACGGCACTCTTATATCCGTTTCTTTTCTTTGGCAAGCTTCAAGCCACTGTTTCCTAAGTACGGGCTCTTTAGGAAAATAATACAACGATACATTTTCTTTGTTACTGCGACCGGTTCTACTTTTACAATTTTTAATATAACAGATTGGCATTTTAATATAAACTAGTATTTTAATATAAACTTAACCAACCCACGTAGCACACCAGCACGTGTAAAGCGTTTTCGAAGTGCTGTTCAGATTGCATGCGGATAACTCGACCAATTTCAAGTCATATTGCAGACACTGTTATACGACATGAAAAGTGCAATAAATGTGCTATAAAACTGTATTTATTCTGCGCTGATTATATGCGCTTATAATGCACTTTTCATAGTGGATTTTGAAAGCGTTTTTAAAGCGCTAATGCTCTTTTAAAGCGCTAAAAAGCTGCTAAAGTGATGTGGGAATGAACAAAATTCAAAAAACCAGCCATATTGAAAATTTCGCATAAAAGCTCAAAGTGTGATTGGTTGACTACCCCCACTACTTCTAATCTACTGCGCATCCATCGGAATGGTTCACCTTTCTACTTACACCATGACTCGATCCACGGTCCAGTTCTGAGTCGTTCACCTAACGTACTGCTCCACTGTTATCTTATTGACAGAGATGTTTCGAATGGTCTATATATATACAGGGTGTTTGAAATTAACCGCCAAATATTTTATGTGTGGGTAGAACAGACTATACTAAGTCGAAAAGTCCTGTACCATTTTGCGAATACAGTAATAGTTAACGAGATATTAATTTATAAAGATATTTAAATTCGCCCGGCCCACCGTCAAATGCAAGCGCGCGGCTGGATAGGACCGCCCTGCAAAGCGCGCCGCGCGCGTTCACGTTCGCCGTTGCTAGGCACGCGACTCATGTCTAGCGACGACTATTGCCGCTTGTTATAAACAACGCTTGTTCTAAACAACGCCTAGCAACGGCGAACGCGCGCGGCGCGCGTTTCGCTGGGCGGTCCTATCCAGCCGCGCGCTTGCATTTGACGGTGGGCCGGGCGAATTTAAATATCTTTATAAATTAATATCTCGTTAACTATTACTGTATTCGCAAAATGGTACAGGACTTTTCGACTCAGTATAGTCTGTTCTACCCACACATGAAATATTTGGCGGTTAATTTCAAACACCCTGTATATATATATTAGATGCACAACTTTGCTTCCGCCGTTTTTACAGGTATAAATTTACCTATAAAAACGGCGGGAGCAAAGTTGTACACTTAATACTTTTAATAAAAGTTACTTTTAATAAAAATATTTTGTCTACCCAAACAGATTATTTTGTTAAAATTACTAAAAGAATATTTATTTTGTAATGGCAACAAAATTTTACCTTGTTATTTACTAAAAGTAAATAAGCAAATAAATTTGTACCGCTAAATAAAAAAATTTACAATATTTTCTTTATTTAACAAAAAAATTGTATTTTGTTATTTTAACAAAATAATTCAATGATAATTAGCTATTTGTGTTTAATTCTTTTTTTTGTTACCATTACTATATCTTTTTTCTCAATGTATAAATTCTGCAACATGATAACAGTACGGTGAACGCACGGTGAACGCACGGTAAACGCACGGTGAACGCACGGTGAACGCACGGTGAACGCACGGTGAACGCACGGCGTGATTGCATAATGCGATTCATTGCGCTCGCACGCATGCCCCTATCACGTCGTGCGGGCAACATGACATTCCATGTATGGGCACGATGTGATACGCACGCGTGAGGGCAATATGAGTTCGCACGAATTGTTATCTGGGATGTGTCATCTGTCATGTATGTACACCCACGGTAATTAATTCTGTCCCTCGGAAATTTTCACAAAATGAAACGTGACCTCCTTTCTATATTAATTGTCACTATTCATGCACGATAAGGTTCAGTCGTAACGTTAATCGTGCATGGATTGTGACAATTAATATAGAAAGGTGGTCATTTTTTATTTTGTGAAATTTTCCGAGGGACAGAATTAATTACCATGGGTGTATGTTGTACATACGCGTATTCTATTAGAATAGGTTATAACATGAGGTCTGTTCGCGTTGCTTGCACTTTTTGCACTTACCATCTTCGCTTTCTTTCTTTTTAAAGCCGAATATACATCTATCTCACTTTAAGTGCAAAATTATTTGGGAATTTCATGCAACGCGAACAGACCTATTGTCGAAGTAACAAGGTCTGCTATTGCGCAGCTTTTTATATCTAGCTAATAGCAAGCAAGACTGAACTCCGCCATATTGCGCGCATATATATGAAACATATTTAAAATTGATTTTGTGTGCAGACACATACACATAAAAAATGGCGGAATTCAGTCCTGCGCAGAACCGGACGAATATTTGTCATGGATACGAGCAGACCTTAGAACATATAGTACTGGAAGGAGCATAGTCTTTTGAAAGTGAAGGCGAGTAGATTGACAGAGAGAAATAGATTAAGATCATAGTTGGTAATGCGCATGACTGTAGGGAGGGAATGTGCGCGCAAGCGAATTATACACAACTGTCAGCTGCAGTATACATTTGATATATGAATTTAAGTT